GGGGGGGGGGGGGGGAAACAAGTCAATTTTCCTATATAGATGGTTGGAACAATTGATGAGTTGCCAAACATGTTCCGATTTGTTAAGAACGCCAAAAAATTTGTTCCCTTTTTTGTTAGGAAGTAAAAAACGAACATTTGTCACCAAAATGGTCCTCAATAAATCAATATAACATGCAAGATAAGGTTAATGGTGGAAAACATATTGCAGGTCTTAACTTTGAAGACTAACTGCAATGCTTCATTCGATTAAACCAATAAGACTGCAGAAAACGTGTAAGTTTTCAGTAGAGGAAGCAAATTTCAATCAATCATTTAGCAAATTATCTTCAAATATTTCCAAAAACAACATTTACTTACAAGGTGAGAAAGCAAGATAAAGGTAAAATGTCCCGCTCTTCTTGTCACGTTTTACAAGACATTGATGTGGAGAGTCCCGTGGCCCTGGCTGCAGTACATAAAATATTAGCTTGGAACGTTAGAAAAATCGACCCACTTCATTTTACCATTGAGATGTGCATTCTTAACCACAATACGAATGCTCAAATATAACATGGAAAACGGAAATCAAACAAGTCAAGAAACTTGGCCATTCAACCTAAAACTTATCTATGTAGACACAATTGATGATATTAAACAGTATTTAAGAGGATAACAAATAAAATTTTTAAATAGATTTTTCTTCTCTAATCATATCTAGTATTGTCGAGTCCTGCATAACTGATTGTACTCAAAATCCAACAATCATTCATTTTACAATTGAAACGTGTAATCTTAACCACGATAAGAAATGCTCAAAAATAACATGGAAAACAAAAATCAACACTATCAAAGAAGTAGAGAAACTCAAGCCATTCTGCCTAATTCATCTCTATAGACATGTTTAGTACATGTAATAGACGGTATTGCACGGGACAACAGAAAAGATTTTTAAATGGTTTTTCTTCCTTAATCCTATCGAATATTATTGAGTGCTGCCAGGGCCAGACCTAAGAAGGGACGAGTGGGTGCCATTGCCCTCACTGGATTTTCAAATGTGGCTTTTTTAAATTCAAATTTTCAGATTTTTTTTGGTTTCTTTCCCAATTTATTTGAAATAATTTTTTTATGTAATTGTGTCTCGCCGCAGCTCAACCATAATCCTGGGTCCGCCCCCGAGTGCTGCCTAACAAAATCATTTTCGTCTTGTCTAACATTCTACACAAAATTTACAGTAGTGCATACTTTCGAGAGAACTCATCATTCTATACCATTAATCCATGCCCAGAGTTAACATTCAACAGCATACCAATCCTTAAACTTTCTATTCATATAATTCATCAAAATACCAAATCTTCAATCTTTCTTGTATCTAACAGAAATCCGTTCACATTCCAATACTAAGATTCAAAATCAATATTAAATTAAGAACAAAAACCCAAAAAATTGAACCTTTTTTAAGGAAGGAGGGAAGGTGATATTGCCAGCTTGATGAACAGAGGCCTTCTCCACCACGTCTTTTGTTACATCTCTCCACTGCTTGCAAACACAGCCGCATGCGACGACGTTTCGACGCTGCGGCCATTTGTCTTCACTTTCTTCCACCCTCTTTATAATTTCTCCCAGTACCTCCGGCAGCATATTAGCCCACGAAACCGGGTTCCCATTCAGACCCGATTCTTCAACGGCGCCGTTCTGTTGCCTGATTTCGCCGTTTTCTTCTTCCTGTTTTTCGTCGTTATCGTCATTAATATTGCAGTTAACGACTGTTTGATTTCCTAGGAATTTGAATTCTTTGAAGGATTTTGAAAGTGTGAATGAACGATGATTGATTCTTCTTGCCAGAAAAGAGCGTCGCAGTGACATTGTTTGTGAAGAGAGAGAAGTGAGGGATCTCTGTAGAGAGAAACACACATGAATAAGAAGGGAGAGGAGAGAAATTTTCTTGAATGAATGTAGGAATGAAGTGACGAACTTTCCACGTTAGGAAGATCACAGACAAATCGACAGTGGATGTTTCTTTAGAATTTCATGGAGTACACACGTGGAGGGTTACTAGTTGACCGTTAGGTTTTAGTTTGTCACAGCGCTGTGGGAATATAATTGGTTGGTTGGTTAATTTATTACCTGAAATGTGGGGGGCTGTTCTTCGTTGACAAATTGACTTAGTCGCAATGTCGTTTTGAACTGCAAAAAAAAAGACCGTATGTTATATTCCCACCATATTTTAATTATCTTCATTCATTAATTTTTATCATTAATCAAAAAAAATCTTGTCTCTATTCACGATTTTTGTCCAAAAATATTGTTAACGTGCCTTCAATCGAGAGCCAAACATTTATCGTATTTTTTTCATTATTTTTTTTGCACTTATTTTAAAATATAATACACAAATGAGTTTTTTATTCCATTTTAAAGAAAATTTTGGAGATAAATCATAATTAGTAACAATTTATGTTACTTTTAGAATATTAATGCAATGAAAAAAAATTGAGATATAAATATTAGTAATTTGTAAAGGTTATGAACCTTTCGTATAATTAAAATACGGTCTCGTAATTAAAATTTGTCGTGTGAATATATTTAGCCAACAATATAATAAACGGGAGAACTATTTTTGGACGATAATGTCCTTACTGGCATTGTAATCTTCCTTATTTACCTTGAATATATAGAGCATGTTTAGCTAGGATTAAAATCCAATTAAAATTGAAAATATGGTATTTATTGGGTCCCACTCGTTTAATAAAAGTCAACAATAACGACTAATTTTTCGATTTTAATCCATACCGAACACGCCCATAGTATTTTTTAGCCATTAATTAATTTATTTATAGTGGATTTACTTCTTCACATTTCGTCTCTTCATTATTGCAATAGATTTTTCAATTCTCGGATTTCATATTAAGAATTATCTTTAAATGGAAAATAATTTTGAATCATTACATTATATTTAATAATTAACCATAATTGCAATTAAAAATGATTAACCATAATTGCAATTAAACCATAATTATGATTAATTTTAGTTTTTAGGAAAGTTATTTTTTATTAATATCTTTATTTTAGAATTTCAAGGTTTTACTTTATTTATTGTTTAAATTGGAATTAGCTAAAATAGTTATGTAGTTATTGTTGCTAATTATTTGACATAATGTGTGTTAATGACTGTATTTTCTCAAAATATTAGTTGGTAATTTCATATATCTGCATCTAAAGAGAGAAAAAAAGAGTGAAATGAAGAAATTAATTGGCGATTTTATGTTTTTTTGGAGATTGAGTTCTTCGGAAATTCAAATGACAGGTCAAGACTTCCTCGAATAAACCTACTATGATTATTTCTTTCATAATCTCGAAACAATTTATGTTAATATCGTCAAAAATTTACATTCATAGAAATTAATAGTTTTCGATTCAATTATAATTACTTAAATACTTGAATGAAAAATATCTCGCAACATTTACAAAATCAATGCAAACGCACGTGTTACACATGCTAGTAATATTAGACATTAGAATTCCTAATACTTTGGCCTATTGAGTTCCAACCCGCTTACAAGTTGGTACGCTGGCTTATTTGACCAAAAGTCAAGAAGACATCATAGTGTTACACTTGACCAAACTCGCTATGACTTTGAATGTGGGAAGCAAAATGTTTCCTCGTTCATGCTTGGATAAATCTATTTGCAATATTTTTCTACAACACTGTTGACAATATTGTAGGTAACAAAAAAGTGCTAGTTGTAAAGATAATTTATTTTTTAAACTGTCCAATGACAACATATCATGTGGTATGTTGTTGACAACATTGTACACCAAACATAATTGTGCATGCATAGAGAGATGAATAGGGATGGCAACGGGGCGGGAATGCCCTCCCCTTCCCGCTCCGTTAAGAAATTCCTTCCCCGTCACCGCCCAGTTACCCGTTTAAGGCGGGGCGG